ATATAATATATCTAGCTGGGCCCCCTTCGATGAAAGGAAAGGAATGATCGGTGTATTAACATCAACTGAAGGTCATTGGCCTACTATATTTTTACACTCTACTGGAATGGAGCAATAAATCTTGACAGATCTAAAAAATTAAAAGGTCTAGATCTATACTCTCAAAACAAAATGCGCTTCGTGAAAAATCACTTCTGGCACTTCCGCTATGCACACTTGTTTCGTTTCTCAGTGGAATAATCACAAAAACCACAGAAGGCCGGCAACTTTTTGTGAAATATATTTTTTTCTAAATTCAGGAAAAGAATAAATAAAAAATCGGGCTCCGTAATGGGGACCTATCTATCTTTCAACTCAGCAGCTGTCGTGGTTTTATGGGAAAAGTGACACACGTGTTTCCAAGTCGCCAAATTCAATAGATGTATAGATTGATTCTCTATTCCGCTTTCGTGGTTGTACAATCCAGAATTTCAAAGGTGTGGAAACAGTGCGCACGGCTAGTGAACGGAAAGCTCACTTGTTTACAATGGCGTTTTAGAAGACAGACTTTCCCAAGAATAGATCTAAATGAAACTAATGAAAAACTGAAAATTAAACTATTTGACACCAGGCTCCTCAATAAAACTGTGCACCTTTTAAATGATTCTGAACCCTCTTTAATTTTGTCAAATTTGAATGTTAAGTGGGTGGGAAGTTTTTGGTGGCCAAAGTGACGGACTTTCACAAATAGAATGTAGAGATGTACTAGCTGGACACCCTTCCGATGAAAGGAATGATCGGTGCATTAACATCAACAGACAATCATTTGCCTACTATATTTACACTCTACTGGAATGGAGCAGAGATGCAAAAAATAGAAAGTCTATATATAGAGATGTACAGATTGATTCTCTATTCTGCTTTTGTGGTCGTACACTCCAGAATTTCAATGGTGTGGACATGGACGGCTGGTGCATCTACAAATAACTTATTATTGGTCAAATGTTGAATAGGTGCGCACGGCTAGTAAACGGAAACCTCACTTGTTTACAGCAGCGTGTTAGAAGACAGACTTTCCCACGATTAGATCTAAATGAAAGTAATGAAAAACTGAAAGCTAAACTACAACGACTTCATGCTCCTCAATAAAACTATGCACCCTTTAAATGATTCTGAGGCACCATTATTTTTGTCAAATTAGAAAGTTCAGTGGTTCGCAAATTTTAGGCAGCCAAAGTGACGTACTTTCACAAATATAATATAATGTCTTTATATATACATACATACACACAGACAGCTGGGAGACATATTCTCAAAGGATACACAGTATACGGCGTGAGGGTTACGTCCTTACCCACTGTATTTTTGGCAGAAGAAGAAGAAGAAGAAGAAGAAGAAGAAGAAGAAGAAGAAGAAGAAGAAGAAGAAGAAGA